TTTCAAGCCCTGCCTGGACAAGGCCCTGGGCAGCCTGCTGTGGGTGACCCTGCTTCGGCAGGGGGGTTGGACTAGATGACCCACAGAGGTCCCTTTCAACCCCTACCACTGTGTGATTCTGTGTGATTCTGTTTCCAGCTGGGGACTAATCCATGCCACACCAGTGAATGTCTTTCATCCCTCCCGGCTCACTGGGCCTGCTGGCAGTGTCAGTGCCATAGGGCCCCGGGTTTGTGCTTGCAGTGGAACCGCGGGGCTCCGGTGCGTTGCTTTGAAAGCTGAGCCCAAGCTCTCAGGTTTATCCTGTGGGGAGAAGTGGGGTCTGGGAGTGCAGCACGGTGCCATCAAAGCTGCGTGCCTAGGCTTGGCTGCATCTCCAGATGAATCGGGAGAACACTTGCATTAACGAGTGCTGCGCGTTGGCCGCGGGCGGTGTGGTGGTGAGCTCTGGGCCACAGTGCAGAAAAACGCAGGTCGGGCCGGCGTAAGATGCCACTTCTGCAGCTGGGAGAAGCGAGGAGAGAAGAAGTGGAGCAGATACACGTCAAATGAGCATTTCTGTGCTGAGCACTAGTATTAGTGTGCCTTTAAATAAATGCCTGCTCTTGCCTATTCAGCGATGTTTTGGATCGTGACCCTGGCTGTCTCGGGGACCACGGCAGATGTACGGTGGTGCCTGTCCTTCCCGTGGAACTTCGGAACTCGCCAGCCAATTCAAAGTGGGTCCAGTCCTGATTTCAGAGCCACTGACTTCCCCAGCACGAAATGCGCACACCTCATGGCGAGAGGCAGCTGGCAGGGAGGTGGGACCCCAGTTTGTGCCTTGGTGAAAAAGGACCTGAGCCGGAACCTTCGGGCTGGTTAAGAAGGCATTGGATTCTGCTCTCTGCCACGGGACTGGGGAGGAAGCGGGAGGAGGGAGGCAGGCTGGGAATGGCTCAGCCGTGGGAAAAGCGTTGGTTGGAGCGGACAGCTTGTTAGGTTGGGGATAATCCAGCCACGAGATGCAGAACTGGGAGACAGAAGCAGAGGATGGGGCTTCAGGAGCTGGGCTGCGTTGCTGACCGGGGCTGCGTCCCGGCAGCGCTTCCCGGGCTCCCACATGCGCTTCCAGCAGATCCTTCGC